ATCCTAAAAGAGAAGAATGAAAATGATGATCAAAAGCATAGAGCACTAACTCAATAAAAAATGTATATTTAATGGAAACAACTGTGTGAATTAAGGCATCATTTCCACAATAGAAATATAATGTGTTCTGAGTGGCCTGATCTTAAATTTCTTTGGAAAATATTTTTCAGATTTAATATAGGACAAAGTCCTTTCTACTACACCTATTCAGTAGAAATAAATCTCAAAAAAATATATATATATGATAGAGGTATGATTTGTCAAAGTCGTCAGATTGTTGTATAGAAAAAGAACACATGACATAGTGCCACATAAGTACAAACCTTGAGAATCACTCTCATTCCAACAAGATCACGAGTATAAAATTCATCTTCTTCCAACAGTGGTCTATCATCTTCCTTTACAAGTAAAGTTGAACCAACAAGTTGCCTAGCCTGAAATCAATTGTTTTAATTAGGAATGTATGAGTTTGAACTACATTAAAAGCACTCATGTGACTGTACATATTCAATCATATTTGGAGCATAGCTGAAAATTGTTTAACCTTAATTTCAAGCAAAAATGGCAGGATGAAGTTGAAAGGATAATTCTTTCTTGAGTTGTATTTATTCAAATGTCATTGAACAAGAAACATTAGAATACTGGTCATGCTTCATCTGGTGATGAATTTTTTACTGGATAGTAACTTTTATATATACTCTAGAAGAAATTAAACTAAACTGAATAACTGGCACACCAACCTAACCATCATCAGATGTTTGCCTGGTAAACGTAAATGTTTACATTCAGTGCTTTCCTTGAAATATAAGGCAGATGTTATATATTTATATTCAGTATCTTCCTACCTACGAAGTCCTTAACTAGTGAAATGCAAGTCCTGAAAGGTTAAAGCTTCATTTGTAGAACATTTGGAACCTTGTAAAATATATTACAAATTTACAAGCTGAATCCTAGTAAATAATGTTGTGACATGATTTGGAACTTATTTGGCAACCAGCATCAAGCAAGAAGCTTTCTTTCCATCAAGAGATTTGCCACATGAAGAATTTGCATTTTGTTTGCTTATGTTGGATCAGATGAGTTGCTTCTAAGATTTGAAATATAGAAGAAAAGTAACAAGAATGAAGTTAGCTATGAATAAATTAAAAAAACTCTGCGTAGGTCACCTGATCTACTGTATCAACTCCCCTGAACCTAAGTATCCAACCATTCCGCCCAGGGTGTTCCCTTCCTTCAACAAGCTCCACTTCTTGAATTGTTTCAGTACCTGAAACTTGCTGCCTTAACCATCTTTGGCCAGCCTAGAAAAACATCACTTTTCTTAAGGTGAAGCAAAGATTGTTCACCAAGAATAACTTAAATCTAAGTGTCTTGGAAGAATAAATAAAAATAAATAAATCTAAAGGTCAAAATTTTCTTCAGAACTTCATTTACCTTGCGAAACCGTAACTCAGGAAAACCAGTGTTGGGTTTTACACAAACCTCCCCTTGAATCCCATGAACACCAAGTATGAAGCCAATCTCAACAAAACCAGATGCTATCTCATTCGTTTCAATAACTTCTTGTGCAGCTAAGGTTACATAACAAGAAAAAAAACAATCATAACTACCATCATGTGAACAACGAAAGAGGAAGATAAGAATCATCTCACAACCATCATATGCAAAAAAGTTTTATTTTTTTTGGCCATCCATATGCAAATAAGTTGAAATAATAAAAACATAAAATATACTGATGAAAGGAAGACTTCTCAAATATCTATATGAGTTAAACACATACCAATGTGGCATTGCTTATTCACTCACATAAGGTAGAAATAACCATAGATAAACAGAAACAAAGAACCATAACAACCATCACACAAACTTGTATCAACAATTTCTCATACAAAATGAAATTAACAATATAATAGCATTCAACAAACTCAAGCAGTTAAAAGAATTCAAATTTTTCCATGTGTTACATGAACTAAAACAGCACTGGCAGTCAGCATCAGAAGCAGTTCATTCAGGGTAAATTGAAATCTAAAAAAGTTTTAAATTTTGAACAAGATAAGAGTGGAAGAGTTACCGGAGCTGTGTGACGGTGAAAAGGCACGGCGGTGAGTAAGGAGCCTGGTGAGAGGATACCGAACATGCGACGGAATTGAGACAGAGCAAGAAAGCTGGTTTTGGAAAGGACTGATGAGAGAGGGAGGATTACGGAGGAAGGTTGGGGGTGAAGAGATTGGACTGGAAGAACAGAGAAGCGTCGTTCTCTCCATTTCTGCTCTCCGATGAGGGAATCGGGGAATTTCTTTCTGAAGTACCGCAAGTTGTCTGAGTTTTGATTTTTCGACTTCCATTTTTGTTTTCTTTCCATAAAAATATCTTGGCAAAACGATATTTAAGTCCCCCTAACTTTACGAGAAAGGGCTATAAAGCCCCCCAACTAATAAAGTGGCGAATAATATCCTTAACTGAAATGCAAAAAAAATCAAAATAATCCCTAACACAT